GTGGCCTTACTAGAAATAGTGTAGTAATTACTAGTAGGAATATGGGAAGCATTATCCTGGAATATTCCACTTCTTGCTTGGGGGTAATTAATAAGAATGATTTTAACTTTGCAATGAAGAGGTCAACCATGCTCTAACCTAGTTTAATGGACAATTTTGTTCTGTACAATATAATCCTGGTCACTGAAATACTGTAGTCTAGTATTAGTTTTTCATGAAAAAAAAAAGCTGTAGTTAGTGCCAGCAGTGACCCCCAAGATCAAAAATTGTATTTTATTGACACCAAGCTAGGTGTTACTGGTTCACTGTGTACAGATGCTAGGTGTTAGTCGTTTACTGTGTACTGAAGCTAGGTATTACTGGTTCACTGTGCATAGGCTATGTGTTAGTTACTGGTTCAATGTGTACAAATATGTTACAGGTTCACTCTGCACAGGCTATGTGTTACTAGTTGACTGTGCGCTGAAGCTAGGTGTTACTGGTTCACTGAGTACTGAAGCTAGGTGGAACTGGTTTACTATGTATTGAAGCTAAGTGCTACTGGTTCACTATGCACAGGAGCTAGGTGTTACTGGTTCACTGTGCACTGAAGGTAGGTGTTTTTAACAGGTTCACTGTGTACTGAAGCTAAGTGCTACTGGTTCACTTTGCGCGGAAGCTAGGTGTTACTGGGTCACTGATGTGTTACTGGTTCACTGATGTGTTACTGGTTCACTGTGTTGAAGCTATGTGTTGCTGGTTCACTATGTATTGAAGCTATGTGTTACTGGTTCACTGATGATACTGGTTCACTGATGTGTAAGTACTGGTTCACTGATGTGTTACTGGTTTACTGTGTTGAAGCTATGTGTTACTGGTTCACTATGTATTGAAGCTAGGTGTTACTGGTTCACTGATGATACTGGTTCACTGATGTGTTACTGGTTCACTGTGTTCTGAATCTGAAGCCATGTGTTATCTGACATTGGGCTCTGACGCAGGACTTTACCCACCCCATCAAGCAGAGTTGGTCCGCTAGAGAGTATATTTTACCCGAGTGTGGCAAAGCCTCAGGTAGAGGCTAACCCGAGACCTAGTAGTAGTAGACGCTACAGGGTGTACCTTACTGTACCTATGCCAATATGGGTTTCTCCCCTTATTAGGCTATACCGTCTTAATTCTATGGATAACATCCGCGCACAAATTGATTTTTGCCAATCCTAAAAAATCACATCGATCCTCTGAGTCTCTGGCCTGGCTCTAGGCCTGGGTAGTCCATGCTAGTTAGCCGGTGAGACCTCTTTCTGGAGGATGGCACCCAGGCTACCGAAGCTCCACAACTCAATATCTCAGTACATACGTACAGTGCTGATTCATAAACTTTGCAAAAACTTGTGGTATACGTCGCTATGTAATAACACAAATTCACAAACCATTTAATTAAGTCATGTGGCCTTCCTCCTAATTTCCATGATGACTCCTCACAGTTTATATATGTTATAGACCCAAAATGTTGGGGTTTCCTTTGTCAATATACTGTGAGAACCATGCTTATACAATATGTGTATGTGTGGTACCTCATCATCAGTATACCAAGCTTGGTGCACCTGATACCATGACCAAGGAAATACGGCAAATGCACTTGTATTGCTCAGATTACATGAGACCATTGATCTGAGATACACAGTAAGGTATGGATTGATATCAGGATAGCAGAACTAACAACTTTTGAACTACTTTAG